GGGAAAGAGATGCTGAGCATGGTTATGCCAGGACAATGGACAGAAACCCAACTGTCCAGGGCAAACTGGAACTTTTAGTCATCCTGGTGATCACCATTCCATACCCAGCGGAGGTCACACACAGTGAAGGAGGGACAATGGGATGGGAGGAGGCTCAGTGCAGAGGGGAAGATGACAGTAGCTTAATACCGAGGGCACCCCAACACTCCAGCTTGCTCTCTGGTGTTTCTAGCCAATATCAGTCTTTTCCCCAAGAGCAGCAGTGCTCCCAGCCACCCTGTCCTAGGACCTAGCCCACCGCTCATGTGACTTCCCTTCACCCTTGACTTGTGACTGGCCTCACCTTTCATTTTCCTGCCCCACCCCTACCTCGGCCAGGGACAGGAAGGCCTGCCAACTCCTCTTTCAGCTTCCCCCAGGGGGATTGGGATTTATCCCAGAGCCAAGACTCTGCTTCAGGCTTCCTCTTCCCTCTTCCCCCACGTCTACAGTCTCTTCATTTTGTCCGACCAGTTTCCCAGATCCCTGGGACCATCCCATCCCATAGGAAAGCCTGGCTATGAATGTGGTGAGCAACCAGCGAGGGAGGGTAGCCAAGCCTTGCCCACGTAGGTGAAGGGCACGAGTCACTAGTGATCGGGTTCCAGGGAAGTGGTAAGTCAGGTAGAGGCTGGAGCCAGAGATGAGCTGCTTAGCAGCAGATGAGCCAGTTCCCTGGGACTCTAGAATTTGAGTCTCTGGTCTGGTCTGGTCTGACTGTTGGGGAAATGGTCCAGGGTGGGGACAGGCTGTTCTTGCTCAACCGAAGCTATAGGCGTTGGTGGCAGCGACTGCATCCTGCTGTGATGACATGTGGAAGAGAAACTGCCCTCCCATCTGAGTCCTCAGGCCTTGTGGTCCAGCTTCTTGGGGAGGGTTCCCTAGAGAGTCCCAAGACCCAGCATGAGTGATTTGGGGTGTAGGGCAGGGGGAGCAGAGCCTCCTCGATGACTGTGCAGTGACTGTCATTTACTCTGATGAGAAAGGAAGTCATTCTTGTCACCCACAAATGAAAAGGGCAAGTGAAGTCCTCTTGGGAAGTCCCGCCTGTGAAGTAGCATGTGGGGAGGGAGAGTGGCGAGTCCCCTGCATGGCTGGGAGAAGATGTGGGTGGCTGGTCTGCAAATGG